TTTTTTTTTGCAGGGCTGGGAGTCTGACTCTGGATTTTGTGCTAGATAGGCAAGCACTCTAGCACTAGGCTACATCCCCTGCCCAAAGAATCAATTTCAGAGGAGTAAAATCATGACTCGTCCCAGTATAGAATGAGTGCGTATTGAAGATTTTATTTACCTCATTAGTTAATAAAGAATTTCGTAAAGTGCTATCATTAGAATCCAAACAGTAGACTAAACATAAGCCAAGGAGTTGGCAAACTGTAACCCTTTCTGACAGGTGAAAGTTATATTTAATCCGACTTTAGTGCACATTTTAAAAGTTTTATTGAATACCCTCATCTCCATTTACATATCACCTATGCAGCACACTTGAGCAGTGGTAATAGGTAGTATATGGCCAATGGCTTAAAGTATTTACTGTTTGCCCCTTTTCCAAAAAGTTTGCCAAGTCTCGAAATAGGCAATCGGGAATGTGGACACCAATTTGCAGAGCTGGGCAGTAAAATATCTCCATTGGATAAAATTCGCTTGCATCCCCAGAGAATGGAGTGAGCCCAGAATTCATTCTCTATGGCTCCTGGCATTGTGAAATATTCTGGTCCAAGAAAGTGAAAAGTACAGCATCTTCTAAAATTAGATAACCCCACAGGCGTGCTTCATGGTGTTCAGCATTCTCTCGTAAAGACACCCGTTCTGGGTCTTCAAGTCCACCCCAAATAAGTTCGCACAATTTGTCTGATGTGCACTAAACTCCGTGAACTTTCTCGGGACATCAGAGGCGCACTCTAACCCGAAGGCGCTTCATTCTGGGTGTGTCTGGGACATGTCCAGGCCTTAGCTACTTCATGATAGCTCTTCTCTGCCTGCTCTCAGAACTGGGCACTCATCGGCCAAGCAGTTCTAGTGGACTCCTAGTTGCAAGGTTCTCATTCACAGACCAAACACAGTCCGTAGGACCATGTTGCTCAGTAAGTGCTCTAGGCAAGGGTACTACTAAAAGGATCAAGGCTCTGTCCTGCAGGAGCATATGTTCCCGGCACAGATGCTCCTGAGCTGAGAGAGATGTACCGTCGTAGACTGGATTCACTCAAAATGACTTTCTGCCTTTCCAAACGTAAATCCATTATCTTCCAGAATGGCTACCTGTACTGCATTTCTTTCATTTACTGAATGATAAAACTCTGCCAAAAAAATAAAAAAATAAAAGATTCTGAACATCCTGTAAAATGCATCTTTGACTTTTAAGTCAACTTTAGATTCATCTAAATTCTTGAATATTTGTTACAATTAAGAAAGCCCTCAGATTCTGAACATCCTGTAAAATGCATCTTTGACTTTTAAGTCAACTTTAGATTCATCTAAATCCTTGAATATTTGTTACAATTAAGAAAGCCCTCAGCCAGGTGTGGTGGCGCATGCCTGTAATCCCAGCACTCGGGAGGCTGAGGCAGGAGGATTGCTGTGAGTTCCAAACCAGCCTGGGCTACATAGTGAGTCCCGGGTCAGTCTCAACTACATAGTGAAACCCTGGCTAAAAAAACAGAAAACAAGAAAAGAAAGAAAGAAAGCCCTCATTAAACATGACTTCAGTGTTTTCATGATATCCTGATGACCTTTATGAAGTCAATAATTTTCCAAATTTGTATAAAATATTTGCGTTCTCTTAAAAGTGGCTCTTACTTTGATCTTTGCAGCTCACAGTCAAAATTGCTTAAATTCATTCTTTGAAAAGACGCTCTAGAAGCCAGACTAGTATCTCCAACATAGATTAGTTTGATTTTCAAAAATGATCCCCGCTTGTTTCTTCAAAATACAAATAATTACATGTGCTAATTTTTGCCTGCTTCTTTCATGTCTGGTTTTGTTCTTTACTATGTTCCCGTAGCAGGCAAGACAGTTCTCATTTCACAAGCAGAGATCTGTGAGCTCAGGGGACAGTTTTTCCTTTTATTCCTCCCTAAGCCTCCTGTGTGTCCAGATTGATTTAGAGAACGCATGAAAGATGCACCTTGGGACCACACTGTTAAGTGAAGCAAATCAGACACACAAGTTTAAATGTCATATGGTTTCTCTTATGTGAGAAACCCAAATTACAGGTAAAGAGAAAAATTACAGATCGTAGGAAGTAGGGAGTTAGCTCTTTCCCAAATAGGGAGGGAAACAAGAGATGGAGGGTTGGGGGAAGGGGAAAGGAAGGGAGGTGAAAAAAGGAGTCGAGATGTGCTATGTACAAGTACAAACTCTACATAAGGAAGGTAAACATTATACTTATATTGCAAACGTGCTAATTTGGAGGGGTTTTGTTTTCTGTTTTTGTTTTGTTTTTGGTACCGGGGATCGAACTCAGAACCTTGTGCATAGGAGGCAGGTGGTGGCAATGTACTAATTTTTTAAAATGTAATCGAAGAAAGAATACACGTATACATGTAATTTGGGGGAGGCAGAGCTCAGCGAAAACCAAAATATACTGGACAACTGAGGGAGGATAAAATTTTATTCACATTAGCCCAGCATCGTTAGCATGGCTATAATCCCTGTACTTAGGAGGCTGAGGCAGGAAGATCACCACGAATTCAAGGCCAGTGTGGGCTACATAGTGAGTTCAAGACCAGCCTGAACTATATAACAAGACTCCATCTCAATAAACTACTTTTTTAATTCAGATAATAGCAATAGAGAGACTGTTCATTAAGGAGGCGTGTCTAAAGGAGTGAGGCAGGGCTTATAGAGGGAGATAAACATAAGAGCTATCCTCGAGTCTCATAGGAGTCAAGTCTAAGTCACGCCAGCGCGGTTCTTTGCAGATAGCCCTTCCCTCCGCAGAACAAAAAAGAGTGAGGACATTCAGAAAAGTTAAAAAGTCAGAACGGGTGCGAGTTTTTTAACGTAGCCATTTCCTGATACAGGTCAGCGAGGTCCCACGTTGTCCGGTACTTCCCCATACAGGGTATCTTGTGGTCTGGGGCGTGGGAGACCACTTCGCCGTGGTCCTGGGTCTGGAGAAGGGGCCCACGCCTCGCCGAGCTGGGCAGGCTCTGCACCCCGGAGCTGGGGTGCGCCGAAGCTGCCGCGGGGACTGGCAGCACCGCTGCGCAGGGACGAGAGACCAGCGTGCAGGACGGTACTACGCAACAGTCCTCTGTTCCAGCAGGACTTCCACATTCTTTGGGGGGTACAGTGTTTGTGCATCGTATGGTTTACCCCACAGCAATTCAGTGCAGTGTGCAGTGGTCCAGTCCACATGATAAGCATGTCCGTTCCCTCAGTCGTTACTGTGCACTGGGAACCTTCTTATCCTTCTAATTTTAAAATAAAACATGGATTCTCATAGCCGATAGTTACTCTACTGTGCTACAGACAACAGAACTGATTCCTCCCAGCTGCTGGTGTTTTGCTGCCCCCGAGCTACCTCTGTGTCCTGCCCACCTTCCCAGTCTCCGGTGACCGCTGCTTCTCTCCTAACCTCTCTACCTTTGACATCCACTTTTTAGTTGTCACAAGTAAGTGAGAACACGAGGTATTTGTCTGTCTCTGACTTATTTCACATACTGACCTCCAGTTCCGTCCATGTTGCTGCGCCTGCCACGGTTCCGTTCCTTCTATGGCTGAATGACGTTTAGCTGGACCCCTTCACCCGCGGACGGGCATCTTGGCTAATTCCAGATCGTGGCTGTTAGGAATAAGACCGCAGTAAGCGTGGGGGTGCCCACAACTCCCTACGGTAATGATTTCGCTTCTGGGGTTACAGACAGAGCCAGTAGTGAAATGTCTGGACCACGGCGTGTTTCTACTTTGGGTTGTTTCAGGAATCTCTCTGTTATTTTTCATAATAGCTGTACTAATTTACATTCCCTCCAACAAGATACAAGAATCCTCTTTTCCTTGCATTCATGCAGGTGGTTTTTTTTTTTTTTCTCCTTGGTAATAGCTATTCAAATGGGGTAAGATGATAACTCACTGTGCTTTGATTTGCATTTGCTGCTAATTAGTAATATTAAGCATTTTCATACACGGTAATATACTGGTGGGCTTTCTTGGTCTTCCTCTGAGAAATGCCTATTGAGGTCTTTAGCCCATTTCCTGATTGGACTCTGGGGGGTGCTGTTTTTCAGTTCCTTCTATTCTCTGGACATTAACCCCTTATCAGATGAATCACTTTGAAATGATCTCCCATTCTGAGCTTTGGTGTCCTGTCCAAAAAGCTTTGCCTACACCAATTTATTGAGGAATTTTCCTTGTTTTCTTAGAGGAATTTTATCATTTCGGGTCTTACATTTAGGTCTTTGATACATTTGAGCTGATTTTATGTGTGGTGAGGGGTAAGAATCTAATTCAATTCTTCTACATATATAAGGTTTTTCTGTATAATGTACAAATGTCTATACATTAAATAAGCGCATTGCCCTTTCTCCAGTGTGTATAGTTGGTGCCTTTGCCAAAACTCTGTTGGCTGTGTGTAAGTGAATTCATTTCTGGGTTCTCCATTTTGTTCCATTTGTCTGACTGTTGAGTTTTATGCCAGTGCCGTGCTGTTTGGGTTACTAGTATGGCCTGGTACCATGTTTTAAAGTCAAGTTTGTGATGCTTCCAGGCTTGTTGTTGGTGATGATCACTTTGGCTATTCTCCATTTTTCATGGTTCTACATTAATTTTAGGAATTGTTTTCTATTTCTTGAAGAATGTCATTGGCATTTTCATGGGGATGGCATTAAATCTGGAGGTTGCTGTAGGTAGTACAATCCTTTTAATGGCATTGACTATTCTGATCCATGAACTTTCTCATTTCGTGTCTATAATTCCTTTCCTTAATATTTTCTAATTTTTATTGTAAGAATCTTTCACTTCCTTAATTGTTCCTGATTTTTTTTTTTTTTGAGACAGGGTCTCACTATGTAGTTGAGACTGACCTGGAACTCACTATGCAGCCCAGGTTGGTCTCGAACTCACAGAGATCCTCCTGCTTCAGCCTCCCAAGTGCTGGGGTTAGAGGCATATGATTACACCACACCCAGCTGTTCCTAAATATTTTAACTTTTTTTAGTTATTATGAATGGGATTGCCTTCCTGATTTCTTTTCTAGCAGGTTCATTACTAATGAGTAAAATGCTACTGCATTTTTTTGTATGATGATTTGTGTACTGAAACCTTATCAAATCCATTTATTAGTTCTAATAGCTTCTTGGTGGAAAATTTAGGCTTTTCTATGTATAAAAATCATATCAGCTGCAAGTATGGAGAATTTTGCTTCCTCCCTGCTTTGATGCTCTTTTTATTTTTCCTTTCTTTTCCTAAATTCTTTGCCTAGCTGTTCTTGCTGAAACTTCTAATAGTGTGTTTAACAAGAATTGTGAATGTGAACAGCTTTGTCTTATTCCAGATCTTTAAGGAAATGCTTCCCTCTTTACCCCATTCAATTTAATATTGACTGTGAGTTTTTCTTGTAGAGCTTGCAGCATTTTGAGGTATGTTCCTTCAATAACTAACATATTGAGAGGGTTTACCATGAAAACACACGGAATCTTATCACAGTTTTTCTGCATCATTGAGAGGGTCATACAGATTCTGTTCTCCCACCTTTTGATGTGGTATATCACATTCAGTGATTTGTAAATGTTAAACCCTCCTGGCACCCAGAAATGAATTCCCTTGATCACTGGTTGTTGACTTCCTTTTGCTAGTATTGTATTTGAAAATTTTACAATGTGTCTTCATCAGAAATGCTGGTCTGTTAAGTTTTTTGTTTTATTTTGTTTTGTTTTTTGCCACATCTTTTTGGGAGGAGGGTACCAGGGATCAAACTCAGGACCTTGCACTTGTAAGGCAGGAAGGCTGCACACTGAGCTAAATCACTGGCCCGGTTAAGTTTTTTTGTTATGTCTTTGTCTGCTTTTGGCATCAGGAAAATGCCTGGTTCGTAAAATATTTTGATAGAATTCCTTCCTTTCTCATTTTAATCTTTATTATCAACTTGACTGGATTAGGAGATTCCTGGCAAGGTGACCAGATTGTGAGGGTACTAACTTCATCTACAGGTTATCTGTGAGGCTGAATGGATATTAGGAGGTGGGGCCTATGAAGTTGGAGGCAATGGGTCAAGATAGCGTGACCTTGGGGGCTATAATTCATCCATGGCCGCTTCTTTCTGGGCTTTTCCCTTGTACTCTGTTTCCAAGTCTCCATGAAATGAGCAGCTTTCTCCTACCCCCGGCTTCCATCCTGCTGCTTCTGTCTTGGAGCCAGAGCATCATGGACTGAGCCCTCTGAAATCACGAGACAAAATTCACCTGTCCTTCCCTAGTCTGTGGCTGCCAGATATTTTTGTCCTAACAACAGGAAAATTAACCAATACTGAAGACTTTACTGCTTCTATCTCAGTACTTATTATTGAACTGTTTAATTTATCTATTTTATCTTTATTCAACCTTGGCATATTACATGATCCAGGAATATACCCATTTCTTCTAGGTCTTCCAATATTTTAGCCTGTGATTGTTTTGTTTTGTTTTGTTTTGTTTTTTGGTTCCAGGGATCGACCTCGGGACCTTGCACTTGTGAGGCAGGCAGCAGAACCACTGAGCTAAATCCCCCGCCCATTAGCCTGTGACGGTTCAGAGTCACTTCTTAAGACCTTTATATTTCTGTGCATCACTTGTAAATCTCCTGTATCATCTCTAATTTATAAATTTGGCTTTTCTCTTTTTTACTTGGACACTAGCTGAAGTTTTGCCAATTCTATCTTTTCAAAAGAACTAACTGTTGTTTCTTGATGTTTTGTATTTTTTGTTTCAATTTTATTTATTTATGCTCTCATCTTTATTATTTGTTTCCTTCTATGAATTTTGGATTTGGTGTGTCCTTGAGGTACATTCTTAGGTTGTTTGAAAACTTTTTTTTTTTTGAGACAAGTTCTTGATATGTAGCCCAGGCTGGCCTCAAACTCATACTGATCCACCTGCCTCAGCCTCCTGAGTGCTGGGATATTTGAAAACTTTTTGTCTGATACATAAATTTATTGCTATAATTTTCCCTCTTAGTACTGTTTATGCCATATCCCATGGATGTTGACATGCTGTGTTTTTGTTTTAATCTTTTCAAGGAGTTTTTTTTTCTCTTCTAATTTCTCTTCTCTTCTTTCAATTAGTCATTGATATTACACTCTCATACAGGAATAAAATGAACATGAAACAAATGTTTTATTTAAAAACTCTTAATAAGGGAATAAGTAAGATGTTATAACCAGTTCAAAGGGGGATTCAAACAACATACAGTCTTCAATCAGAAATGAGGGAATAAATGCACAAAAATAAATACAAAGCAGGCCAATATCCACAGAAAATAATAAACTGTATACCCTCTGGGGGAAAACATCTTCGCATTTCTATGGACAAGAATAATCTGCATTATGACAAGTATTCTCTAACTAAGAGATCACTAAGACAGCAAAAGGCACATGTTGCTAAGTCGGATAACATGGAGGGTACACGAGGTGGAACACTCAAATCTTTCATGCATCTTCCCAATACTCTTTTCTTAAAGTAATTTCACTGGTACATTTTAGATATATAATGACAGCCATCATTGGAGATTTGTACCTTTACATAATATATCTTCACTGTTATTTGTTCGCCATTCCCCTACCCTCCCTTCAACCCCTCCACCCCTATTTGCAAACTTTCTCTCCATTTTTTCATTTTCTTATTTTAATTCCCTTCCCTTCTTTTCTTCCCACACCCCTCCCACTTTCCCTTCCCCTTTGCAACTTTTCTTCCTAGTTCACATTATCTATTATTTACACTTTCACTTTCTCACACCAGAGAAGCTATTTGATATTTACACGTGTGTCCTATTTATTTCACTGAAGAGTATGGCCTCAGTGGACATCCACTTAGCTATAAATATCTCTAGTTTCTCATTCTTTATAGTTGAGTAGTCCTCCATTTTATTTTTTAAGAATCTTCTTTATCCAGTCTACAGCTGATGGGTAATTGGGCTGTTTCCAAGTTTAAGCTATTGCAAACAGTGCCACTATAAACCTGGTACACATATATTGCTGTGGTGTGATTCTTTTAATTCTTTTGGGAAGATGCCAGGAAGGGAATAGCTGGGTCCATTAGGACCTCTAATCCTAACTCTTTGAGGTATCTCCATACTGATTTCCACAGGGGTTGCACCAGTCTGCACTCCCATCAACAGTGGGAAATGGTTTCTTTTTCCCCACAACCTCACCTACATTTGTTATTAGTTGACTTCTTGATAGCAGTCATTCTTTCTGGGGTGAGGTGGAATCTGTGTTATTTTCATTTGCATCTCTCAAATGACCAGTGATGTTGAACATTTTTTCATATGTTTATTTACTATTTCTATTTCTTTGAGAAATGCCTGTTCATTTCAGTTGCCCATTTTTGGATTGGGTCTTTAAATTTGGGAGGTCTGTTTTTTTTTAATTCTTTATTCTAGATATATAATATAGTATATTATCATCTACTGTCATCTCTGCTGAGAAAGCCTACCATGAACAGCTTACTGTAGCAGAGATCACCAATGCCTGCTTTGAGCCAGCCAACCATATGGTGAAATTTGACCCTCACCATGGTAAATACATGACTTACTGCCTGTTGTACCATGGTGATGTGGTCCCCAAAGATATCATTGCTACCATCACCACCATCAAGACCAAGCACAGCATCCAATTTGTGGACTGGTGTCCCACTGGCTTCAAGGTCGGCATTAATTACCAGCCTCCCACCATGGTACCTGGTGGAGACCTGGCCAATGTGCAACAGGCTTTGTGCATGCCAAGCAACACCACAGCCATTGCTGAGGCCTGGGCCCACCTGGACCACAAGTTTGATCTGATGTATGCCAAGCACACCTTTGCTCACTGGTACGTGGGTGAGGGAATGGAAGAAGGAGAGTTTTCTGAGGCCCGGGAGGACATGGCTGCCCTAGAGAAGGATTACAAGGAGGTTGGATAGTAGACCTTTTTACATGGAAAGAGCTGTAGAGGACAAGATTGAATGGCTGGAAAGCTACCAAGATGCTGACATTGAAGACATCAAAGCACAAAAGAAGGAATTAGAAGAAATTGTTCAGCCAATTCTCAGCAGACTCTATGGAAGTGCAGGCCCTCGCCATACTGGTGAAGAGGATACAGCAGAAAAAGATGAGTTTTAGACACTGATTTGCAAGCGCTGTGATATTGGAAATACTGGACTCAGGAACTTTCGTTAGGAGAAAATGAGAGAACTTAAGTCTCGAATGTAATTGGAATCTTCGCCTCAGAGTGGAGTTGAAAATGCTATAGCCCAAGTGGCTGTTTACTGCTTTTCATTAGCAGTTGCTCATGTGTCATGGGGTGGGGAGAGATGACAAACTGGCCATCTTCAAAAAACTGGGTAAAAGGGCCAGGAATCTAGCTCAGTGATTCCGCCACCTGCCTCGCAAGTGCAAGGACCCAAGTTTGATCCCTGGTACCAAAAAAAACAAAAAACAAAAAAAAATTTAAAACTGGGTAAAAAAGTTGGGTCAGCAGTAGACCTTTGTCTGAAGGAGAGCTGGTAAAAATGTTTTCCCACATTGCAGGTTGTCTCTTCACACTATCGCTTGTTTCTCTTGCTGTGAAGAAGCTTTTTAATGAGAAGAGACCCCACGTGTCGATTCTTTGTGCTAGTTCACGTGCAACTGAGGTTTTGTTCATGAAATCTTTTCCTACACCAATGTCTTCAAGAGTTCCACCTAACCTCTCTTCCAGCTGGTTTAGTGTTTCTGTTTTAATATTAGATCTTTAATCCATTTTGATTTCCAATACTCTCTTTTTTAACATAAGTATAATTTGCAAGGTGTACTTTGAAATTTTTTATTAAATTTGAATTTCTAGGAATGCACCTAACAAGTAAAATAAAGGGATATTGTATTTGACTTTGTTTGAACTTTAACCGGTATTTCAGAAATTCACTTCTCTTATGACAGTGATACTTATGTTTCCAACACAACATCTGAATCAGTCTGCATTTATAGCTATGGAATCCAGTGGTGCTGAAGATATTTACGTATAAATACAAGTATTTACTTTATTGGGTACTTGGGATATTGCACTGCCTTTTGAAATATATGTTGTTATAAATTATTTTCCTTTTATTTCTTCTGTACATTACAGTTGTAACAATGCATTGCCTATTTTGAATAAAGTGAGTTAACTCGGCTATACCCTTTTTTATTTTTTTATTAAGTTTATTGGTACATTTTAGGTATACAATGCAGTTATATTCATCATTGGGATCTTGTACCTTTACCTGACTTATCTTGGTTTTTATTTTTCCCCATTCCCTAGCCCTCTCTTCACCCCTTCCACCCTTCCCTGTTTACAAAGACATTGTTTCCATGTTTTTCCTTTCTATATATTTTTTCTTTCCCCATTTTACCTTTCCCCTACCCCTCCCACTTCCTCTACTCTTTTTGACCTTTACACAATATCAGTTATACACATTGATCCTTATTTACACTTTTATTTATTCACACCAGAGAAACTATTCAGTATTTACACGTGTGACTTACTAATTTCACTTAAGAGTATGGCCTCAGTGGGCATCCATTTCGCTATAAATATCTCTAATTTCTCATTCTTTATGGCTGAGTAGTATTCCATTTTATTTTTTTAAAACATACACACACACACACACACACACATCTTCTTTCTCCAGTCTCCAGTTGATGGGCAAGTGGGGTGTTTCCAAGTTTTCACTATTACAAACTGTGCTGTTATAAACGTGGGTGAGCATATATCACTGTGGTATGATTCTTTTAATTCTTTTGGGAATTAAAAGTACTCTGTTCTCAGTACGTGTTTGTGGTACGTAATGATTATAATTATTGTGAAGAATCAGTACATGTACATAATACATCTTAATTCTTTTTCTTTTTTTTCTCTTTCCTTCCCCTCTTCCCTGCACCTTCCAATTCTTGATCCCCTTCTCATTTACAAAAGCTTTCTTTTCTTCTTTTTTCCTCAATTTTTTCATCCTCCCCCCGCGCGCTTTGTCTCTTGATGAAGGAAGCTCTCTTTTCAAAATCATAAAAGGAGCATTAGAAAATATTTGCTTTGAAAAGGGCAGAGTAGGTTCATTGGGTAAGGAATCTCTTATTACAACCTAGATCAGGTGAATGCAAAACCAACATGAGAAACCATGATCTTGAATGTCCTGTCTCCCGCTCCTTCTCTCCCACTCTTCTTCTTACCTTAAATACAAACATACTCCCTGTTGAAAAGCTTCCCTGTAAAGAGGAGGGTGACATCTGATATCCTTATTGAAGGTCAGGATACTGAGTTAACGTTCATTTCATTATGTTTTATGTAAATTTCAATGTATTGCTGTAAAATAAAGATATGGCTCACAATAACTATTCCAAGCCAAAAGCCAGTTTCTTTACAACATTCTGATCAAACCCAGAGTCAGAGACTGGGAGACATAAAACCCAGTAGTGTCAGGACCCTGAGCGTCTCTGTACCCAGTGGTTATATATTGCTGCATATCAAATGACTCCAAAATGTAGAGGCTTAAAGGACCATAAAATTTTTTTATCTGTCCCAGTTTCTGTTGGACAGAAATCTAGAAGTGACGTAGCTGGGTGATTCTGGAGATTAGAGTCTCTCACAAGGCTCGATCCTTTCCATCTTGAGTGCCCTCACGTGCCTGCTTCAGAGTCCTCAGCTGTGACACCATCTGCCTTCGGAATGTTGATCCAGAAGAGATCAGTGGAGGAAGTGGTGTCTTTCGTGTCCAAGCCTCAGCACCACCCAGCATCACTTCCAGGGTTCCGTGGATACCACCCTGGGCAGCGAGAGAGGGGGCTGGCCAGGAACTCGGCCCCAGGAAGGAAGGATCATCCACTGCCATGCCACAGAGTGGCTTGTGTGCTTTACTTGGTCCCCAATTCATCTTCCCTTAATATTAATCTCTATCATTCCTCAGATGTGTAGAAGTTATTTACTAACAGAGGGAAGAGAATGTCATTTTGGTTTGCAAACCAGAGCTGGCAAAGCAGAAGCCATCCAGAACTGAACTACGGCTTTCTTCTCACAGCTACACAAATCCGTATCGCAATGGTTTCATTTGTCCCTAAATGTTCATCTCTTCAGAGAAGACAACTACAAATTCGAAGGCCACCAATAAATCAGGGAAAGATACAGGGAAGTTCTTTTTTCCAAGTTCATACTCACAATTTCCTTCTATAGGAGTTGATTCTAAATTGAAAGCAAATAGAAATCCTGGTTTGTTTGTTTGTTTTTTAATGAAGGCAAAAAGTAATAAGGTATATATGACTGTGAGCCTTGTTGTTTTTAAAAGTAGTTTTATGGGCCAGGGATCTAGTTCAGTGGTTGTGGCGCCTGCTTCACAAGTGCAGGGACCCAAGTTCGATCCCCAGTACCAAAAATAAAAATAAAAGTAGTTTTATGAGGTAATATTTAACTCTAATAAGAGTTCACATGTGCCGCATTCCTGTTTAGAGTTAAAATGTAAAAACTAGACTGGAAAAACATGCTTTTGATTGATGGTTTGTGAAGAAGAATTTGGTATGTTTCTAAAAAGCAGAATGCACGCTTCATTCTAATGATGACTGCCAGTCAAGGGGACACCCATCCTTAATTACTTAATTACACCCTCCCTTAATTACTATTTAACATTTAGGAGAGACATAATTAGTCTCTAGCATTCTAATAACTCACATCAGGTAGAAAGTGCAGAGGGTAAAATCACCTGGCAGCTTATAAAATGGCTTGGGGCAGTGCCTTAGCTACTTTCTCATTACTGAGACAAAATACTCAACACCCCAAATTAAAGGAGGAAAAGTTTATTTGGCTCACAGTTTGTAGAGATTTTAGTCCTTAGTTGGCTGGCTCCAAGGCAGAGTGGCATGGGAGAAGGGCATCACAGAGGAGAAACAGTTCATGGTGGGCAAAGCAAGCAAGCAAGAGGGAAGACAAGCCTCTTTGTGCCCCTTTATACTCTAGGCTAGTGAAAATTTTTAAATGATAAAAGGATAGATGTAGCCCTACAAAAAATGTAGCTTAAATTTGGTCTACTTAATTTTACTTGACTTTAACAGAAGAAACTAAAATGACACTCAAGTAATTGCTGCATTTCAGCTAAACATTTCCTGATCTCATGAACTATTTATTCTTTTTTTTTTCCAGCTTTAATTGAGTTTATTGGTACATTTTAGGGATACAGTACAGTTACATTCATTGTTGGGATCTTGTACCTCTACATGACAAGTCTTGATTCTCATTTTTTCCCCTTACCCCTGCCCTCCCTTCATCCCTTGAACTATTTATTCTTAAACGAGCCTCAAAATTTAAGATTAACTTGAAGTCATTATCCCGTGCGCTGCACACGTCAGCATTAGACCGGATGTTTAATGTAATGCTGTGATAAAGTTGCTCGAACATAGATACTCATTCTCCTGACCCGCGCTCCCCCACTCCCCAAGAGTCAGTAATTAGGTGACTGTACCACTGTGAAGTTTCAGAACTGTCTCTGTAGTCACAACTCCCACAGCCTGTCGGAGAGATTTCCATATTTAAATGCGTAGGCCCACCTGTGAACCTCCTAGCGAAGCTTCTCCATTCCTGAGTTCTCTGGTTTTTCTCTTGATTGACTGGAATATTTAATCAGATATTTGTTCCCAGAGAGCTTTCAGATGCGTGGCTCCTGAGGGCTGGGCTCCTTACTGCCTGTGACTTCGTATGTGCAGGACAGGTGGCTGAATGTAAAGCTCCTGCCTGTCTCTCACTCATAAATTCGCCTCACTGCCTTTAGCTGTGTGATCAGCTGACTTCCCTGAGGCACAACTTTGTTTCTTTTCTCTGCTTTTCTTGGATAGAGAGTATTTCTAAATAGCTTCCTTCTTCAAACTAAATACCCAGACATTTTATTTAGCTTGGCTTTGTTTCAGTTCCTGATATGCAATGCTTGTCTTTCTAGTTCCTCCAGGCGCTATAACAAAATATCTTAGACTGGGTAACTTGGAAACAACAGAATTTTATTTCTCATTTATCTGGAGATTGGGAAGTCTAAAGTCAAAGCCCTGCCAGGTAGGCATGGGGTGAGAGCCATTACTTAGAGCACCTTCTTTTTTTTTTTTTTTTTTTTTTTTTATACTGGGGATCCAACTTCACCCTTGCACTTGCGAGGCAGGCGGCAGAACCACTGAGCAAAATCCCCGGCCCTCAGAGCACCTTCTGTCTGTGTCCTCACAGGGTGGAGGGAACACTGGTCACAATCAGGAGAGAGGGTCCCCTTTCAGAGGCCCCTCTCTAAAAGCCATCTTCTGGGTTGAGATTTCAACATCTGAATGTGGGGAAGATTAACATTCAGACCATCACAAGAAATATATCTTGCTACAGCTAGTTCATTTTGAATAATTTTCTGATATTATTTGGATTTCTAAATTCAAGTTTAATGTATCAGAAATTTTTTTTCTGTCATAACTTTCAGGACTTTTTCTGATCCATTGTTCTTTTGTTCTCCAACCTAAGAACACAGATAATATAAATGTTGTCTTTCATTTTCCTTTCTTCTATATTTATGATATCTTTTATGATCAGTTACTTAACTTTGCTCTTTTTAATATCATTTTAGTGATTTCCTGTCAGTAAGCTTGTCAGTATTGGCCTGGCTGCCTTCAGTCACATTTATTCCCTGTTTTACTAAATTTTTAAATAAGGACATTTTGGAAGTAAAATAGAGTTGCATCTCCAGGAAAATGGAATAAATGTATGTTTTCCTATTCCTCCTGTTAAGTACAACTAAATGCCCCGGACATTTTATACAAAACAAGGCTCACAAGACTGAAAGGCCAGAAGGAAAGGAGAACACTCAAGGCCCTGAGGCCCTTGGGAATGAGGTGATACTAAGCTTCCGAATTTTCTTTCTGAAAGTACTTGAAGAAACAGGCTCTGCAAAAGACACTGCTAAGAAGACAAGAAGTGAAAATCCGAGCTGAGAGAAAGCATCTGTTAAACCCCATATCTGACAGAGGACAAGTAGCCAGAATATATAAGTAACTCTCAAAACTCAGTAGTCAAACTATATTTCCAACTTTAAATGTGCAAAAATCCAGAGGGACCTTTTACCCACCGGGACCCACAGAGGCACATGAGCCCACGGCAAGACGTTCAATATCTTTGTTTATTAGTGAAATGCAAATTAAAGCCACAGTGAGATATCGCTGCGACCAAAATAAAATACAGCAACCCTATCAGATGTGGGAGAGTACAAAAGAGCCCGATCCTTTTCGTGTTGCTGGGGGAAATGTAAAATGGCAGAGACCTCCTGTAAAACAGTTTGGCAGTTTCCCCAAAAATCAAATATGCAGTTACCATCGAGCTATTATAGGGCATTTGTTATAAAGAAACTTTATTATAAAGAAACTGTATACAGTAAAGCTTAAGCATGAATGTTCATAGCAACTGGATTCCTGGTAGGCCAAGAACTAGAAACAACCCAAGGTGCCTTTCAGCGGGTAAGTGGTTAAGCCATCTAAGATGAATCTATATTACATAATGCTACTTAGCAACAAAAAGGAACAAATTATTGATACCTACAACAATTTGGCTGAATCCACAAAGGGTTATCCTGAGGGAGAAAAGGCAGTTGCAAATAGTTACGTACTGTCGTCCACGTGTATGGCATTTTCGAGCTGACCGTGTTACATAAATGGAAAACACGAGCGGCCGGCAGGTGTTAAAAAGGCAACAGGATGGACTTCCCGTGCCTAGACTATCAGCATCGTATACTGCAGTTCTCCAAGACGCCACCTTTAGAAGAATCCACGTAAGCGCTACACAGGATCTCATGTATATTTTTTTTTCTTCTTTATTGAGATAAAATTCCCCGTTTTAGTTACTGTTAGACAGTTCGGTGGGCTCTTATACACTCACAGTTTTGTGCAACACCACCTCCAAACCAGTAAAATTCCAGGAACCAGTTGTCGCCCTACAGGAAATCATGTAGCCACAAAGCAAGCACAGTCCTTCTCCTCGGTTTTCACCGATGCCGTTCCCTGCATTTCTTACAACTGCATTGGAATCTACAACCCTCTCCACCCGGCGTACTATGTATTTTCCTTGGCTTATTTTAGGTTTTGTTTCTCTGCCTTCCTCAGTAGACAATATGCTCTAGGCAGCCAGGAACTCTATTTTGTTCAGTTGTATCTTAGAACCTGGGATAAAGCCCGATACGTACTAGGATATCAGTATCTATTCACTGAATGAATTGATAATAAACACGTACTTTCTATCTCTACACGATTCCAAAATAGTACCTTGTTATTATATATAAGAATAGATTTGCTAGATATAAAGTTAAAATCTTGCTGGTCATGCCCCTTGAAGACTTAAAGGAGGTTGTGGAATCTCTCCTACAAGGTTTTTCTTTTTAAACATGAAGTAGGCCACTACTTGACGTCTGTGGCCCCCTGTAATAGATGGCCCTCGGCAGCATGCAAAGCAGCCTCACATCTGCCCGCCTCCTCCATGCCCTGCTCACCTCTGGCCACTAATACGACTTAGCAAGCACAACCCCACACCGTGCCCCTCTGCATCTGTGGCTGGATTGTTCCACCTTGGGCTTCAGCGGGGCCCAAGTTCTCCTACTCTGGATTGGCTCAATTCATCTGTAGCCCTGACTGGGGCAGATCTCTTATCTATAAGGCGACCAAAGAGCCACTTACTCTATACCCAGGAGCCTGGCTTATGGCTAACGCCCCTGCCACCCACACATGCACACAAACACTCTCCACCACTCGCGGGAGCTCTGCACACACCCAGCACAACAATAGAGTCCGTCTACTTTTCATTCTTCAGGATAAAATGAATGGCCTTGGCCTTTTGACTCGTGACTTTCCCATTGTAGTGTGTAAAACTTAATGTTGCATTGGCCTGTGTTGTTCCTGTGACTTAGTTTTTGCATAAGAATTAGTTGAACAGACAATTTACCCCCAAAGGAATTAACTATTGTCTTAGAAGGAAAGAGGGAGGAAGGAAATAGGAGTCTTTTAAAATCACACTTAAATTTGCTGCCAGGTTCCGCAAAGAAAAATATGTTACCCAGTTAAATTAATTTGAATTCTACATACACTTAATTAGTTCTCACCACATATATTTTCCAAGTAACATTCTGTACAGTATCTTTAAATAACCAACTGGGATATCAGTTAGGTAACTTGATTATGTTTGTTGTAAATGTGAATGTTTGTTAATATTACAATGCCACAAAGGAAGTAGGCTAGAAACCCACTGGCTGGTGATATAATGCAGTAGCCTATTTCCAGCTGAGTAAAGTTTATCCAAAGAGAAAGGTCTAATGAGACACTGACCCCAGAGCATAGCAAAGACATCCATCATTGTCTCAGAGCCTCCCGACTTTTTTCCTCTGTAGGGGCACAGAGAGCCCATCACAGGTGCCCACACCCAGGTGCATTTCCTAGGGCAAGGTGTCAACACAAACCACGATAACACCACACCTTTAAACCTACTCATCCCAGATCCTTTCGTGGGTATCTTAGCTCAGGGTGCCGTAACAAAATAACATGTAGTGAATGCATGAAACAACAAACATTATAAATCCAAAATCAAGGTGCTGGCAGATTTGGTTTCTGATGAGAACACTTCTCGTTTGCAGATGGATGCATTCTCGCTGTAACTTCGCACGGCAAAAGGAGAGATGATCTCTTTTGTGGCCATGGTTTTCAGGGTGCTGATCCCAATCCCTTTCATGAGGACTCCAGTCTCATGACCTGATTACCCCACAAAGGCCCATCTTCAAATACCATCACACTGAGGAATAAAGCTTCACTGAGTGAATCTGAGAGAGACCCAGACACTCAGTCCATAGTACAGAGATTTGAATGAGACTAAGTGTGCACAGAGACACTTGGGTGTTAGGAAACATTCCTGGCAGTCCCATGAAGTATGCCTGCACACACCTAGGCACTCTCAGGTGAAAGGAAAGAGGGTGTTTCTCTGAAATCTAGGCATAGTTCACCAATAGCCAGGTTTTATTTTAAGAAAGTAATAAAACTAATGTGATTCCCTACCTTCCAGAGTTGTTTATCACTTGCAATTTCAGTTGTGGTGATTGCACAGCAGTAAATTAGCCAACTGCAAGTCCAAAGATGATATCTACATCCAGACAGACCATTCATCATACTTAGCATCTGGGTCTCAGCAGAGCTTTCCCATTTATTTGCCAAAATGCCACTGAAATAATCAGAGGAAGCTACCTGTTTTGTTCACCTAATGCCTTCAATATTGTCCATAGCTCTGGAGTTTAGAACTATTTGGAGTACTTTAATTACCCATCAATCTTTTTAACTGAAAGTTTCATATAACCACTATCTTAGTTTGCAAATACTTACCGATTTTAATTTTAATTCCAAAAATGCAGTGCCCTTCAGTAGTTCAATGTGTATTTACCCAAGAAAGGAATGCCCAGGTGTGAAAATTATCCGAGTGTGATAATGTAATAGTGGCAAGGGTTTTAAATATTATGAAATATCTAGCAAGTTGTACGGTTGATATAAAGTTTAATTATATGTGGCACTGATATATTTACACTCAATAGCAGTTTGCAAACAGGTAAGTTATTTAGTGAGCTTAGCTAGTTCTGAATGAGCAAAATTAAATTTTAAGTGATAAAATGACCAAAATGTGGTCATTGAATCCAAAAACTTCAGTTACATAAAATGCAGATTTATACTGTTGGAAGATAAATAATAATTGTTCAGGGCCAAAACTGTACAGAAGGGGAAGTGGTGTTTAAATCTAATTCAATGCCAGCTATGGTTTGGGATCTAAATCCATTCCAACAGTGACTTGTCAGTTTGTGTTGCTTGACCCATGGACTGTGCAATTCCAGAATTCTAGGTACCTAGTACTTTTGGGTCTCATATTCCTAGTCAGAGAGCCACCCTTTGCCTAGTTCTGGATACAACATTGCCTGCCCTTCAATTTCTCTTTTTAAAAAAAAATACCATTTAAATGATCAACGCAAATATCCTTTTTTTTTTTTTTTAATTAAGCCTAACTTTGAATTGTTCCCCCCCTCTGGGAACCACTTGGACAATAGAATTGGTCATAGGCGCTTCCCCCACCAGCCGTTCTCGGATTCCGCCGACAGAGGTCTCTCCTTTCCTATCACAAACTCTACTACTCTCTACCACATCAAGGGTCTTCTCTCTCACTGGTCAGAGCACCACGGACATAATGTCTGTTGACCAAACAGTAGCAGTCCAAGAGGCCACCATCCCCGCTCGTGATTCTTCTGCCACTGGTGAGTTGGCTCTGGAAAGCTCACATTCGCCCGTATCTTCGGGGGATGGCAGATTGAGAACAGATGGCCAGGATACGATCAGCGACCTCGATAGAATGGCTGCGTCTAACGCTCCTTCCTTGTTGGAAGAACTGGGACCCCAGATCATTTCTCAGAGAGAGCCACGCCTGTCCCAGCTCTGCAGGACATCACCACTAGCTCTATGACCAATGCCACCAAGAGCTGAGAGCTGGTGGTGTTCTTCAGTCTGCGTGTTGCTAACGTGCCCTTCTCCAACGACCTGTTCGACAAGAGCTCTCAGGAGTACCGAGCTCTAGAGCAACAATGCACACAGCTGGTGAGTGGATGCCGCTTACCCTTCTCAACTATCTGTGCGTCTCTTTCTTCCCTTTCATTTTTGTACACTGGGCAATGCATACTTAGAAGAAACAAGCCCCTGGGAGAGCTGAAGCTGGGGGCATTCAGCTAGTTTTGAGATGGATTCAGACCCAGGCAGGGAAGGGAAGTCTGTGGTAGACACTCATGGGAGATGTCACCGCTCTGCCTCCTCGGAATGAACGGATCCTAAAATCTCCTCATTGCAATGCCTCCTCAAGTATTCTACCGGAAATAACCCCTAACCACTGCAGTACTGAATTTGGAATCTAAAAGCCGCTGTGGCTCAACTTTCCCGCAGTTGTAACCACCTGATGAAGGACACAGAGCCGCTGGGGCTCATTGCAGATGAGTTCAAGCAAGGGCTTCCCTTGTAGCCCCTGGTCTCTGACAAACAGTGCGGAACGGATCGTGGTGGCTCATGTCTTAGCTCATTAACACCCCCAGACCACGTGTTGACTTCTCCCAGTGCGATACAAAGCAGATACACAGTGAGAAATGCGGGACTATGATACCTCTACGTAGTCGTAGCTAATCAAACTAAGCTGTACAACGCGTGCCACACAGATTGCCGGATCTCTGACAATAACAGGGAAAACGCTTGGTGTAAGTGAAATCGTTATATAAATGAAATTCCACACACAATCCAACTTCTCGGGTGAATGTTTTAAAGTAAGACTCTCTGTGCCACCTTACACGCACACTACACACACACACTCACACACACACACACACACACACACACTACCAGGTATGTAGATACTGGGATGATCCTAAGTACAAGTCTCAGTGAACTCAGTCCACTTTTCCACTTGGGTTTATGCTAAGACTTGCATTAGCCACAAGGTCATTTCCCTTTCACGTGATGGGTGGGAGAGCTCAACTCTCCAGTGTCATTCAAAGACAGACTTCTTCCACCTGTGGCCCTGTGGAGCCCAGCGCTGTCTTCTCCTAGGCATGGTCAGAGCCAGGTCACTGGTATATCTGTTTCTACTTGCAAGAAGGGTAATAAGAAGCAGCCAAGGGACAGTAAGCCCCTGTCAGCCAGTGAATCCGAGGCTCCTGGGACCGCTCTACTTAACTTGTATGCTGTTGGAGGAATACAGCTGTGGTCACGCCCTAGCCCCAGGAGGCTGGAAACTGAGTCCACTTGGATCCCATCAAGCACTGGGGAATCAGTTTGGGAGAAGGGGAAGCTAGCTGACTGTACAACAACTGGAGGAAGACAGAAAACCCCTACCCAAGGCCAAAACAGTGCTAACATATGAAGTAAGAGTTCAGTCAAAGAACTGTAGAAGCAAGCAGGACAGAGGGAGTTGGAAAGAGCTTCAAACTCTAGGTAAAATGTTCTTTTATTTTCATAATAATCTCGTGAGGGAGAAAGCAAAATGTGGGTCAGAATCATAGTCAAAATTCTGGTAGGGCAGAGACCTGGGCAAAGAGAAAGCAGGTCTGGGTCAATCCAGGAGACCACAGATGGCATCTGTGGGCAGCTCATCAGTGAGGGTCTCACTCCCACAGCCAGAAACAAGCAGACACCATGGAGCTGCAGCTCACTCCAAAAAATGATCTCCATGATGGCTGTGCCTCACAGGAGGGACTGTGAGGGCACCTGAGGGGACCTGGAGATTATTAAACTACCCTTTGGAAGGGACTCCCTAGGGCATCTCTTTCTGTAGTCCATTCCAATTCAGGGGCACGGCACTCACCAGGCTAGTTAGGGACAGCTTCAGGACCAGATCCAAGGCTCCTAACAGCCAGTTCCCTGCTCATCTCCCAGACCCCATTGTGTGGTTTGGCTGTGTCAAAGCTGGTGCTGATTTCAATGGGTCGCCTCAAATGTGCCACTTCCAGAGAGACATCTCAGTCTGGAATGTGATTTTGTTTATTTTTTTTTTTCTTCTCTTGACTCAACCTGCCCGTCCAGCTGTGCTATAGCACTGGCTTGGGTTTTTGGAAATCATGTTTTCACATTTCATCATGAAGAAACCTCTAGCCACCCATCTCAATACCAAGATAGAAAGAGGGAGATAGAGGACACAAATATTGCAAATAGATCATTAAGTCGTGGTGTTCAGGCCTCCTATTAAATCCACAAACAAAATCAACAGAAAGAAACTGAAATGCGTGCCTGAGACAATGAGCAGTGAGGGTGAACAGGAATGAATAATAAACTACCTAGTGTTGGGCCGGGGATGTAGCTCAGTGGTTCCGTCACCTGCCTCACAAGTGCAAGGACACGAGTTCGATCCCCGGTACCACAAAATTTCAAAACTACCTTGCGTTTTGCAGCTGGTTCCGTATCTATGATCCACTCTCACAGGTTTTAAGCAACTTGAAATACTTACTTCAGAAACGCGAGTGTGATTGTAAACAGCAAGATGAGGGTCGTTGAATCCGTGCCCTACAACCTCGTGGAGGCTGTGCACGGCGTCTTGGACAATCTCTGTTCCACGGCGCCCCAAAAGCTGGATCTGGAAATAGACAGCTTCTCTCTGAACATCAAACCAGGTAAAAGAATCTGACAAAGGAAGTTCTGGGAACTTTCGGTTCATTTTGTTTTGCTTTGTTTTTGAGCATATTGTTCAGCTGTCGGAGCTGCAGAGCTGAAATTTAAGTGACACTCTGTACAACAGCCTTTTGGAGGCTCCAGGTCACGTTATCTGACAGGGAGAGGGCTAAAACATGCAGGTTGAAGTTTCCCTACATCAAAAAGCAAACAGCAAGCGTGCCTCTGACTTTGCCATCTGAGTGCTTCACTTTCATTTCAGAACAAGGCTTTCGCTGTGCTTGAGAAATGTTTTTAAATGGAGCCCAAAGCCAAGCTCATTTACATTCTGCTAGGAGTCAGAAACACTCTCTCAGTGATCAGCAACAATAACTTGAAGTAGAAACCAGCTGAACCACCTCTTTGTTCTACAACTCAGGATGGGTTCTACCAGTACTCCAAGGAGAGCGAAACAACCAGATCACAATTCAGACTTAGAGAAAGGCACTGCACCACCACCAGTGAAAGAGCGTTCCAGGAGGGCATGGTAGTGCACGCCTGTAATCCCAGCACTCGGGAGGCTGAGGCAGGAGGGTTGCTGTGAGTTCGAGACCAGCCTGGGCTACATAGTGAGTTCCAGGTCAGTCTCAACTACATAGTGAGACCCTGTCTCAAAAAACCAAAAACAAAAAAAGCATTCCAGCTCTACAACCATGAGTAGCATAAGACAGAGTTAGGCACCAAGATGATCTTAAAGGAAAGGGACTTAGCCCAGTGCTGTGAGACAGAAAGCAGATGTCAGCTCTGTTGACACAGCAGAGCTTTGGTACCAGTGTAACCAGCTGCATCCAAATCTGGAACTGTTTTCACCAGTAGTCTCACACTTGCTCTATCTAACTGAAGGGAATTTTGTTTGTTTGTTTTTGATTTTTAATTCTCTGAAGTAAAAGAGGGGAGAGTTTCACACTTGCTGCCAAAGAGACTTTTCTTTCAGGCAGGTCAAAGCAAAACTTCCCAATTGGCAATAAATGAGTGGAGTGAATCTTTAACACTTTCTCCTGCTCTCTGTGAGCTAACAAAGAAGGCCGGAGAAAAGGCCTTGGGCAAAAATGCAAGCCAAAAGGCACAGGAGGAAACATTTCTCTTAGCAACTTGAAGAAAACTGCCTCTCTGCTTTAATGAATGGGATTATTAAAAAGACAGAGCACCCATGGGCATTGAGCCCACATAATTCCTGCCAAACAGGAGCAGCTAAGCGAGCGCTTTAGTCCCCCAAAAAGTGCAATTGTGGCGAGGTGGCGCTGCTTCCCCTAAACCACGCGCAGAGCTGAGATGGAGCCAGGGCTCCTGCCAGGAGACTGATCTGTCCCTGGGTTGCTAGAGAACAGGAAGTGTATGGGGAGAGCTTGGAAAGCAGGAGGGAGGTCACAGCGCAAACCACCCCTTCCGTGCTCCAGCTGGGGCCTATCCATCCAAGGTCAAGGCCAGGAGCCAACCTGAGACAGGAAGAGGCCAGCAGGAGAGCCCCGGCATGCACAGAGGGGACAGGTTTTCGGTGCCTCGGAAAGGGGGTGGGGAGCTGGGGCTGTGTCACCGGGTCTGCTCAGGGACACTGATGTTGGAAAGATGGCTCGGGGTCCACAGCCCTGAATGCAAATCCTGTGTGCTAACAGCAGCCCCGTATTTGTCACAACTGGAGAAAGAAGATGACATCGGGCGTGAGGGTCGGCATCCGCCCCGCGTACGGCCGGACTCGCCTCAGCCGCCCGTGTCAGTCGTTACGGTTGCGACACGGCTGTAGTCACCTTGACTGCTGATCTGTGACCTGCACAGGGTACGAGCACGAACCATTCGAGAAAACAACTTAAAAGAGCATGTCAGATTATCCGTGCATAGGTCGGAGCTGAAATTATTTTCACTAATTTCCCATGAGCGGCTCTACTATGTGGTTTTTCCTCTAAACCGGCGTAGAAACGAGTCCTAGCTGAAGCTGCGTTCTGCTATGCTGCCGGCTGTAAGAATGGCTCCAGGCTTCCCAGTACACCGTGGGGCACGTGGCCAATCCGTACCCTAGTGATGGAACAGCTGAGGAGCTCCTAGGGAGAGGCACGCTAAAGTCAGGCGCAGCAGAGGACAAAGGGACACGTACTGAACGAGTGAAGGACCACGCGTGGCGTCCACGAGGGAGGTTCTTTGCAAATGCAGGCGGAACGCTACACCAAACTTGACAGTTAGATAATAGTCCACGCTCTGTTCCTTCCTAGGTACCTGGACAGGAAGATGAAAAAAAAGTTTTTTTTTGAAGTCTCACTGTGTAGCCCAGGCTGGCCTCGAAATCATCAGTTCTCCTACCTCAGTCTCCCAAGAGCTGGGAAGAAAACCTACATTTTTTAACGCATGAAAATTTCAGAAAATAATGAGTGAATGAATGTAACAAGTCACTCAGAAATGGCTGTGGTGAGCCAATTAAAATGTGAGTGATACTTCAACCAAAAGCTTGAGCAGAACTAGAAAGTAAAAAAAATGGTTATTCAACTTAAAAAATGCGCAACAAACTGAATTCATCTCTATCCATCAAAATGTATAAAGTCAGTTTCCCAAAGGGGTCCTAGTGATACTATGTGTGTGTGAAGGCAAGAAGCCAAACTGTGCTAAATGTTTTCCTTCTGGTCAACCCTGAGGGCTGGGGAGAAGGCTGGAGCAAGCAGGGAAGGCACAGAGACGGTCACTGACCAGATGAGCTTCCTCACCCACCGCTGGGCATCCTGGTGTGGTGACTTCTCCAAGGCACAGGGCAGACTCACCACATAACCAGCAGGTGGGCAGAAAGCCGCTTCCTGGGACCAGCTTAATCCATAACTGTCACATTCACCCACAGCACCTCGTATGAATGAAAGGCCTCAGCCAAAGGAGGTGTAGCAAAGGGTCAAGAGACTGGTGAGACTGTACTGAGGTCAAATTGATGTCTTTTTCATTCATAAATAGTTTTAAGAGCTCTTTGCTTTGCCAGACATTGGACAAATCCCTTGTAGGCTTGGGAGACTGCCCAAGAAGCAGTACTGAAAAGAAATGTCAGCTCACTGAGACCTAGAGTGTGAACAGGAGATGATGGAGAGCATTCTTGTCCACCTCTGAGGCAGCCTGCGACAGTGGGGGACAGGGAGGGTAGAGCTGGTGGCGGCAGCTACGAAAGACCAGGCTGTGGGCCAGGACACAGCAGGGCACAGGCCTCTGGGATTCAGCCGGTGGCCTCGGACACACAGGGAGCGGGTAGCACTCACTGTGCCGAACTCACGAACACGCCCAGCCCTGTCATCCATCTCCTCCTGCTCACCACAGTGCCTTGGTCCAGGCCAGAGGCAGCACAAAGCCCAGATCCCCACTCTGCATCCATGCATTTTATCATTCTATAAATCTGCATATCTCACAAAATGTCTTCAACATGAAGTCTAAAACACTGCTCTTTTTTTTTAAAAAAAAAGCATATACTGTTATATCAAGATGTTTCCAATACTTCTGTAAAACTTCAATTTAGGAAGATAAATATATAATTAATCTTTTTTTGTTTGCTTTGTTAGGGCTAGGAATTGAATCTATGGCTTCATGCCTGCAAGTCAAATGCTCTGCCACAGAGATATGTCCCCAGCTCCCTGTTTTACCTATAGAAGAAATAGGTGTCTAAATTTTAAAATAAGTTAAGGATACATATGCCAAAGATTTCCCATCATTTTCTTCTTTTTTCATCTAGCAACATGACAGCTCTTTTGCTCCTAGTCTCTCTCTGTGACGGGCTGCTCCAGACGTTCTTGGTGGGATATTTGAGGAATAGCTGTCAATTGACAAGTAAGCTGATTAAAATGTCCTCCTCGTAAAACTAACCAGTGACACCAGGTGACCGTGCTGCCCGTATGCGTGTGGGTTCCTAGAGCTGAGACACAGCAGTGCCATCCTCCAGCAGGGAGAGGAAAAGGCTGCCAAGACACTGATAATCAAAACCCCCAACAGCCCGGAGGTCCATCTTAGCAAAGACAAGAAATTTCCCTGACGTAGGCTTTGATCCTTTCAGTCTGCCCGAACTCAATGATGCTAGTCCAGTCTCTCTGAAAGCGAACTTGAAACAGGAAATCACCAGGGAGGAAAAAGGGCAGTTGTTGGAAACACTGTGCAAGCTGTAATTGAAAAATAAAGTGAATGTTTTCATGTTTTAGAAATATTATTAGAGTAAAAGACACGCTGCCCTGGATCCCCTTCCAAATACTACCCCCCACACACTCCGAACGCACTCACCGCACCACGCTTGCCATTTCTGCGGCAGGTCTGGAAGTACTCTTTAGTGAGTGTCTTCAGTTGGCAATTTTAACTTTGGAGAGGAACCAGAAGTCATTTGGGGCCAGACCCCCGAACACAGTGGGTGAGGACACCCCGCCGTGTGCACATGACCCTACCCTTCACTGGATGGCACTGGGAGGCAGCATTCTTCGTATTTTCTTATCCACGCCTCATAAGATATTCACAAAAGATGATGTCCAGAACCGCTTCAAGTGCGGGAATGACGGGATAATAGGTGTGCTCAAGACCCGGGGAGGGCGGCCTTTTTAAGCCATTGTTTTTCTTTTTCTTTGTTATCAGTACAGTTTGTAGTACATGATGATTACATCCAGGGTGGAGAGTTACTACGTGTACATAACACATCTTAATTCTTCTTATGCCCCCTTCCCTTTATCTCTTGGTCCCCTTGTATTTGTAAAAGAAGTTTAAATGTTGGCTGTATATTTTGATCACCCCTTCCTGTCAGAAAGAAATACCTAGGTTTGTCTACGGCAGACAATCTTGAGGTTCTAGCCTTGAAAATAAAGAAAGCAGCCTACAATTTTAACCTCTTCCTGGGCAGGGTGGCTAAAACACCTAGCAGAACTGAGCTGCTGGATGTCCTGCCCTTTTGCCCTTCCCTGGAGACCTTCTTGGGGGAAACAGCAGACAAGGGTCAGGGTGCCCCAAGAGTGAGGCCTTCCCACCCTGTCCA